CCAGAATTTAATCTGCGGTTGTGCTGATACCTAGCAGCTATCTAACTGATTTAAACTGTCTCCATATCTAACAATTTACTTCATTGGAACTTGTTCTTTAGCCTAATTTCATCTTGAAAATGATAGTATTTACTCGTTTTGTCTTTTGTTACTGAAAGTTTTACTTTTTCGTCTTTAAAGACACTTCTTTTCCGTTTCCTTAACTGAACCAACTAGTGATATTTTTACTCAGTTAATTTACATAATAACCGCTTCGTGGGCCCCTCTTTGGCACCGCTCGACATCATCTTTGTATGCACTTGCCACTTGTTACCATTGCCATTTAAATTATGTATATTTATGCTCACCTCCTTTATGCTGTCGTCGTTCTCCACGTTGTTGTGGTGGCTGGAGGAAGTTCCTTGGGGCACCGTCTCTTTCGATTAATTGCTTTTGCAGCTTCCGCTGCTATTCACCCACCTGAACGAAGAGACAGAGTGCAGAAGAGAGAAGGAGAGAGCTTTCCAATGAAAAATGTGCACACGCCACGCCCACGCAGCAGCAGAGGCCAACTTTTAATTGAAAGTCAAATTCAATTTTTGCATATTAAATTAAATGGAGCCCGCAGCAATTGCCTCCTCAACTTTTGGTTCATCAGCCTGCCAGTCGCAGAGTTCCAGCAGAAGTTCATCGCGTTGCCCTTGAGTTACATATATCCACAACTTCCGTTTCAAATGACGTCGGGGAAAACTTCCGGCATTCGAGGTCTGGCATTTGGTATTGAATCATGTGTTCAGTCGTGTGAATTATATGCTCTCCAAGTCCTCCAAATGACTGGGCCTAAATTCAGAGCCGACGAAACAATAAAATCTCAGATATCTCACTGCACTCTGCACAGCCAAACATTTGACACCTTTTCGTGCTGCATTTTGGGGGCTAATTATAGTTCGCCTGGTCGCCTGACATTTGCAGGGCTGCCTGGCCTGACAGACTGCCTGCCTGGCCCGGACTGCTCCGACTATCCCAACTGTTTCGACTGGTCCCGATGGCTCTGACATGCTGTGACTAAAGAGGGCGCCGCTGCTATTCATAGCATTGAGGTTGCGCATCGTCTGCCAAACGGAACAGCACAGTGGGATATTTTTACCCCGCACACTGGGGCGATGATCTTTATTGGTTTACCTCTCCATCCATTTACGTCGGGATTGGACCACTAATTCATCGGTTGGCATGCGAATGATTGGTTTCAGCTTGATCAGACGACCAGTCAGAATCAATTCTTGAACCCATAAGAAAGAAATTTAGAATTACTTGTCTACGATCAGAGGAGATCAAATAGGAAAAGATCACGAATAAATTATATTGGTGTTAGCTCACGCTTTCACAAGAGACTTTCTTTAAAATTGCATTATTTAGGATTTAATTGAGACATTCCAACAACCAGCTGTATGGAACCAAGACAGCAGATTAGTTAAAATATTACACATTTTCACCCACCAGCCTTGAGCTTCTCCACTGTTACATTCTCTGTTAGCCCAAAATCTGATGTAACACTGAATTTGATTTATTCCTTAACCACTAATTATTCATATCCCAAGACCCCATACCATCACTGTAGCCCCACTGAGCCAGGTCCATGAGCCAGGGCATACATTTTGCCTCTTTTTCGTACGAGGTAGTGTTCCACATTCAAATGCTGTGCCACAAATCATGGCGTGCAATTTGTCAGCTCATTTCGTTTCGGGTTTCATTTTGGCTTGCTTTTGTTAAGTTATGATGACATTCAAACCTGTCAGCGGCTCCCGTCCAAAGAAAGAGAGATGTGTGTGTGTGTGTATATGTAGGTGGTGGGTGGAGGGAGGAGGGAGGAGGGTCACTCCCTGGTGGCACTTTTTCTCCACTCACTTGAAGATTTATATGGGTTGTGTTGCAATAGTTTCCAAAGCACCATGCCTGCCATGCACCTGCTCTCCCAAGATACATATTTCTTTGCGTTTTGGTCCCGCGGCATCGAAAATTGAGGTCGCTTTGTCGTCGCACAAGTGTCTTCTCGCAGGCCATTTATCATTCTCGTTGCGAAATTCAGCCCGCAGTTAATCCAACATTTAGTTTTGCACTCGAAAGATATATACGCAGTTGCTTCTGATCTGGGACTCATGCTCAATTAAATACAAAATGATTTTTATGGCAGACGGATAGAGTGTTTTGGCTATTTCTGATTTGTGTGTCTAGGTTGTTGGCACCATCAAAACATTTTCACGCGGGATATTCCGAATGCTCGCCTGCCATTAGCATGTGAAAAATGCCATAAAAATGGAGCAGAGAATCCCATGGATGTTGGGCGCCATTAAAAATAATTTAATTAAAAGCCACAACTGCACTTGTGGGTGGGAAAAGAGTCTGTCTGCAGTCTGTCCCTACTAGAGTGGGGTCTACAGTCCACAGGGTAGAGGAGGGGAGTCAGTTTAATGAGGCGGCTAATTGAATCGGTTAATGGGCCCCCAAGTGAATGGCAATTAAATCTAACCATTATAAATCCATCCAATGTCAACTGCAGTCACCGCAAAAGTCCAAACAAAAGGAAAATACTTTACCTAACTTAAACTTCAACCATTCAAAATGTCAACCTTGTGTTAATCACAGAGCAAAAGTTGTTTTGCAAAAAAAAATGTAAAGAAAATATATAGTGAAATACAAAAAAATCCACACAAAATGCATTCAAGCGGCAATTGTCAACGGCAACATCAAATTAAATCTACCGCCATCACCAACGTCTGGAGATTGTGCGCGGGTGTAGCCTCCGTCTATGTGTCCGTTTCCGTCTGCTCCGCCACTGCCGACAATCGTTGATGCATTGGAGAGCCTGTGAAAGTGAAATCTGAAATCGTGATATCGATCAGACAATACTCCGCATATAATACACAGCACACACTCGCTAGGAAAGCTCTTACGTACCGCAGGAAAAATGGGTGCACACAGCTCCAAGGAGAAACTGTCGCGCTCCTATTCCGAGCGCTACATCCACTCACAGATGATCGAGCGGGAGCGCTTTGGCAGCTTTGGGAAGCGGTCCTCCAAAGCCCAGACGAAAGGTAAGTGACGGCTGCAAGGTCTAAGGGGAGACACGATATACGTATGTATATGGGTGAATGCTAATCCCATGTGACTGGGACTGGGGTGTAATGAAATAAGCCCACATGGTGGGTAAGCATGGTTAAAGTGGTTTAATTTATAAAAGACAGCATTAAATGCATTCAGAGTAAATTAAAGGGGAGGGGATATAAAAGTAATAAATTACAAATAAAAAAGTATCAATAGTATCATCTGATATGAGGCAAAATCGCAATCGTAGTTTAATCGTCTTAATTTAACACAATCTCTGAATGCAGTCACGCACTAAAAAAAATGAAAGAAATGCTTTCCCGGCTCAAACAATTCCATTTAAATTTGTAATTATCCAAAAAACACTTTCATTTAAACTCCAAATTTAAATGCAAATGAATTCTGAATAAAATCAACTAAAAACAAAACCGAATCGAGTATTCCATTTAGCGCTGCGGAAGTTTGTCCTTTCGGCCACTGTAAAACTATTTCGCATGCCACATGCTGTCTGCTGCCTGTGGCATGGCTTATCGTTGCTGATAAAAGCCCCATACGGATTACGTGACTCGGCGCAATGCTCTTTGGTTTGCACAGCGGCAGATAAAAGTTTTACATTCGGCCTAAGCTGGGCGTGCAACTTTTATTTCCCTGTTTCCCTGTGTCCATGTCCATGTCCAGCACAATTAGCCGACAGATAAAAATAAAATTTATTAGGTTTTCCCTGCTGCTGATGCTTATGCTGCTGCTGTTGCTGCAGCTGCTTCTGCTTCTGCTGAGGAAATGCATTTCTGTTGGCTCTGGCATGGCTGATTGCCCCTCCTTGTTGTGCCCCACAGCAGCTACAAATTATGTCTAACAAGTGCGAGGTCTGGGCCTATGGCAGGGGCCATTCATTGAGTTGAGGCCCAACAATAAAACCTCGTTAAGGGGGAAACCCGGCGTGAACTTGAATCAAAGTTGATTATTGTGGTGTGGAGATACGATACTTACGAATAAAATATGATAGATTGTTGTGGCACAGGTACATAGGTACCATGTACACATAAATATGTGTGTGGAAAGGTAATTTAAGGTGGATTAAATCATTGTTACAAAAAATACAAAAAAAGGTTTTGCTTTCATTCATTTAAGTATAATTTATTTATTTGTAAAAGATATGAAAAAAAGAGTAGATAATAAAATCTGTAATACGAAAATCTTTGTTCATAAAATTCCATTCAGTCTTTACTCCTTGCGTTCTTAAAACTATTTCTTATTTCCCCCATCTAAAAGTCATAATTTTTGATCAAGCCAAACGATTCCTTCATTCATTCTTTCAAATAGTAAAGTGCACTTCAAAACTCTATAACCAGAGCCCAGGGCTCTGCTCTTCAAGTGATATTCAATTCCTTTCATCTGGAACTCAGTCTCCCACCCCAGAGTAGAAACTTAATAGATTCATGCACTCGCATAATATAATTTCACCCTTTTTTCATGCATGTTTATCCAACAAGTTTCATCATGGTCTCCATGAAGGGAGCGATGGGGCTGAGGCGCAGACACTTCAATTATGGAAACGCTTTGTTTTAATCCACAAAACATTGGAAATGCAAATAGCCCCAAAACAGGGGGCGAGGACCCCCGGCTGGGAAGAGTAAAACAATTTATGAAATTTGAAGAGTGTGTTGTTTTTCTGCTTTGAGTTATTAAATGGGGGGACTACGAGTACACGAGTACATAACTCTCCTTTCAACACAACCCAACAAAATACATAGCAAAAAAAAAAAAACTCGTCAAAGCGTCGCGTTGTTTGGCAACGTGTTCCCGCATAAATTATATATCATCATCATCCACATATTGATTGCTTGCAGAGACACAAAAGTATTTTACTTGGCATTTTTTGTTCACACCCGTCTCCCCATGTCGTTTGTCATTTGCAGGGGCTGCCAAAAAGCGTGATGTGCGCAATCTGAGCATATCGCCAACCGATCTGGGCCCGCCGCCAAAGACCCAACAGACCGCCAAGGGACAATCCACACGCAGCAAATCATCTGCAACGACCACGCCTACATCGATACGTAAGTGAAGAATTTCGATACATCCCATAAAATATGTAAATTATGAACGAGTAATAGATATGGTCATATATTGTATTCTGCAATGTGGCAGACACTTTTAGATTGCTTTGCATTGATTGCTCTCTGCCTTGGAATCCGCTTTGGTTTCCACTAAAACTTTTATGTGGTGTAAGATATTTATGCAACTGAAGGGGGATCTATAGATTTGGTCAGATGAGTCTTTGTTGACCCCATAAACTATGTACATACATACATTTGTACATGTAATTGATACATACACATATGCACAAAACTGAGTAAATCTTCACCTTCCGTGGGAAATGTCAAAAGACGATTTCTATTTCACAAAACTCCCCACAAGAAATCTTTTACACTAAGTACTTAAAGTTCAAAGTTCTACCCCAAGTTGGAAGCCTTAATATGGAAAAGCAATCAAGAGTTATACCAACGAGTACCTTGAGATCATTTTCCTAGAATATGTTCTGTCGTTAGATTTTTCCCACATCAATGTAAACTGAAGAATGAATTGTAACTAACATCTGCCTCTGCCATTAAACCTGCCATCAAAACTGAGGCCCTCTCTGGACTCTCACAGTCGTCACAGTTTTTGCAGCTTCTGTGAAATCTCACTTGAAATGTGTCAACTTTTGTCTAGAATCGCCCTCTGCCTGGCCCCCTACCACTCCCCTAGCTCCACGAAGAGTTATATGCGAATTCATTGCTCAGGTGATGTGCCCAACTGGTTGCCCTCGATGAGTTGGCTCAATCTGCAGTGCCAGAGCCTCTCCCTATAAAAGTGTCGTGTCCAGACCAGCATGAGCCCGCTATATTTCAATTTAGGGGCGTGTCTTAGATCTCAGTGTCCGCTACTCGCGCAGCTGGCAAGAGAGGAAAACAATTTAGCGCCCGATTCCCACAGTTAACCGTAAGGAAAAGCCGGCAAATCTGTGTGTGGGGCATGGGACAGCTGCCAGCTGCCGAGGTGCCGAGGTGCCCGCCACGCAGAATGTCCCAAAAGCCTCAACTCCAGAGGTAATCTGTGCGAAATGTGCTGGAAATTGTGCACAAATTTGGCGTCGTTGACTCATTCCCGTGACTCATCCTGGCAACTGACAGACTGAGGTAATGATTTCACTGGGCTTCAGTGTTTCCATTTGGCCAGATGTGCGAATGCTGTGGATTTATTATTGAAGTATTTGCAAAGATGATCGGAGGAGCTCCGTGGAGTGATCCAGTGTGGCTTCAATGTCTTCATTTTACCACAGCTAAAACATCGACATACATATTTCTTGGAATCATGAACATCTTTCTCTTTAGCTAAGAATTTTGCCGCACTAATTGACTCGTGCTTGTCTGTCTTGTTGCATAATTAATCATAGTTCTGATGAGAAAAAGATGATAATGATAGATTGTCCCGACGGAAGAGACAATAAAGTACATATTGTTGAAAGAATGTGGAGTATGTATTGCTCCACACTTGTGGAAACATTTGTTCCTAACGTTATTTGTGAAAGAATTGCAGTTAATAATAATATTGTAATGAATACTTTAGTCTATCTGAAGTATTAAATTACCAATGAATATTAACCTAAATATGATACAGCGGATAAAGAACTCTTCAAGTAAATCCATCATCATATTCTTCAGTATCTAAAAGTTTCTCTTAAATGTATATTGCCACATGTTCAATTAATAATAATTTTGCAATGGCCTAACTCCATTATCTGATTTATTATACATATTTGGCATATTCTATAATAGAATTTCCGTGGCCTCATTCATAAATTTCAACGATGAAAGTGGGCCAATCGAATACGGAAAACATGAATGCATAAGTACACAAATTTATGCTTGATCCACAGAACCACTGTGGTTCCTATATCCATGTATACTATACGACCCGATACCACCACAAGCATCGGTGGTTCAGTGGTAGAATGCTCGCCTGCCACGCGGGCGGCCCGGGTTCGATTCCCGGCCGATGCAACAGAACTTTTTGCTCGTCTATTTTTTAGCTGCAAGTTTTATTGTTTTGTTTACAGAGTCGTGCGCGGTTCATGCAAATGTTTGCGACTTTGCATAAATTAGCTTTAATAGGGAAATTCATTGTGTGCCGCCCCTCCAAGGCAGCGACGACGAAGAGATGTTGCTGCTAAATTGCTCGAAATGTCGCAGAGTTGGAAGTCGTTAAGAGAATGCCTCCTCCTTCGTCGTCGTCGTCATCGTACTTCTCTCTAAGTAGGGTCCAGCCGCTGGCAATTCTATTTTTATGCGAAAGAGTCTAATTTAAAATTACGTTTCGTACCTCGATCACTGATCTCCAGTGAATGCAGAGCTCCAGAGAGTATGCGCAATGCGCATGCTTATCGAGTTATTTTCACGTCGCGGGGAAAAAACACAAAAGCCAATAAAAAAGACGGTGAAACGTGTTTTGCACATTCAAATGCACAGCTTCTCTTGGCTCACGCTCGAGGCGGCTTTGGCATTTCTACCACTAATTAAGATTTATTCAGCCAACATGCTATTTCATGCAATTAACGACTTGTGAATTTATCAAAAACGAATCAAAAAAGTTAATTTGCATCGGCCGGGAATCGAACCCGGGCCGCCCGCGTGGCAGGCGAGCATTCTACCACTGAACCACCGATGCTTATGCGAAAACTAACCAAAATTTTCCACTCGACAAGGAAAATTTGCTATCATCTTTAGAGAAGATTCGCCAATTGCAACCGGATAACCGGATTTATTCGGGACGAATCAAGACAAAGCTTAGAAAAACAGGTCTTTGTTAGAGTTTGCAAATTTTTAAAAGTTTTGGGGAACTAAAAATATATTTACATATTAATTGTTGGTGGTTGGTGGAAATCAGGCGTATTAGCACATTTAATGAAAGGTTTAAATATCCAAAAATACATTTTGCATCGGCCGGGAATCGAACCCGGATCACTCGCGTGGGAGGCGGGCATTCTACCATTGAACCACCGATGCCAGAATTTTGTTTGTCCAAAAATTATGTACACAAGATACGATCCTTAGATCGTATGAGAATATATGTTATCATTAATTATGTTTCTAAATACCAGCAATTAGAGTAGGTAAATATATTTATTAAACTGGTCAAAACGATTTTTCCTCAAGGAACAAAACAAACTTTTTCTTAAAGATTTGGGGCTTAGAAATGGTTTGATGATATTGTTTTTTTTCTATGGCAGAACTTTTTTTTGAAGAATTTTTTTTTATGCTTTTTCCAGAGGTAGCGCTTGTTTTTTTCATATAACTGTAGTATCTTACGTCTGGTTGTAAATAACTTTGAAAAGATAATTAAAACATCTAGAAGTTAAGCCCAAACACTTTGTGATTACAGCTTACCGTCTGGGAAATATAAAGCATTGAAATGCAAAAATGATGATTTTTGTGCGGTATTTTTTTACGAAATTTTGACTTTAAAAACTCAGGAAAAGTCGAAAGTCTTAAGTCCTCTATTTTTTTGTGTATAGGTGCGTTAATTTGACGTCGTTTAAGGTATCGCTCATTAAAATCTATGGAGAGACTTTGGAGCTAAAATTCGTTAACCAAACCTAAAATATGGAAAAATGAACAAAAAATACCTTTTGGAAGGTTGCGAGCCCAACTGCCCATTGGGAACAAAGGATCGCGATCAGGTACCAAATGTACAACCCTTGTTCGTTTGCTTTGTTCCCAATTGGCAATAGCAAAGTTCTTTACAACCAGACGTAAGATACTAGAGTTATGTGAAAAAAAGCGCTACCTCTGAAAAAAGCTTTAAAAAAAATACCAGACTTCAAAAATTCTTCAAAAAAAAAGTTCTGCCATAGAAAAAAAACCATAATTCTTTAAAAAATTTTAAAGCCCCATATCTATCAGAAAAAGTCGGTTTGGATCCTTGAGGAAAAAAAAAGTTCGGTTTTGTCGAGTAGTGTTATTGATGTGTTAAATACTAAGATCTTTGGTATACCATTTTAAGTCCAGATTTCTGTCTTTATACCAAACAAACGTATCCATACTCCTTATAATTAAAGCTGTTCATTCCTTGACTGGATTTCTGTAACAAAAACATAAGGTGTACCTAACTTATATGTATATGTATCATACAAAATATTATGCTAAAAGACATATGTATCTTAAATACCCCTAATATCTTTGAGTACGGGTATAATACAAAAAAAATTGGATTGCATCGGCCGGGAATCGAACCCGGGCCGCCCGCGTGGCAGGCGAGCATTCTACCACTGAACCACCGATGCTTCGGTGTGTGGGTCTTCCCGGATTCGCTTTACGAATGAAGTTCTATCTTTCTTAAGCTTGATTAACTTTCGGTCAAGCATCCCAGACGTGCTATTAATTCTACAACTTCGACACTATCGTGAGTAGCTAGGTGAACAGATAAGACTGAGTTCTATTGTTGGATCTTCCCTGGGTTCAATGTTTCTTCTATCTCCCAGTCAGCACTCCCATGAAGAAAAGTAATTCCCGCTAATTGCACGCATGCTGATCGCCTTTGATCACATAATCGCAGCACTCTTAAGTATTCGATGTACACCTCTATGGGGCAAACGTGCCTGAAATAAACCTACACAAAGTCTTTTGCTGTTGACCAACCCACTCGTCTACATGGCGCTTACTTTCATCAGGTTGGCAAAAAAATAAAAGCGATATGTTCATTGGCATAATTGTGCAAGATCGATTGATTCGTCGGCATTTTCTCACCTCTTTGTATCGCTGAGATACTTGGCGTCCCACGCACTTGAAGACTGCAAACGGGAACGGATTAATCTGTGAGATCCGGCTACTTCACATGGTAATTGCTTACCGATGGCCCACGCGTGTGTAAGTTTCTTAAACGAAAGCAAAATCGTTACCTGATTAGAGCTCGTTACTGTTGAAGATCTCTGACATTGAACCTGCCTGCCGCTTCTGATAGTTGGGTTGTTTTTTAGTCGTGTTTTTTAAAGCCCCCCATCTGTCTGTGACATTGGCATTCGTGGCATTGTAAACTCTTTTTTCGGCATGGGCATGGGCATACACACACTCGGTGACGTTCTCGAACAACTCTCATTGTTTGTAGTTGGTATTTTTTGCCGCCTAGACTTGTACTAGCCATTTATGGCTTCTGGCGCTGGCTTGTTTTTGCGGTTAGCATTGAAATACAAGCTCCTCCTCAGCTCCAGGCACGAGCACAAATTACCTAAAACAATATACGAGTACTATGTGGATGTCCAAGACGGGTCCCGGGACAAGCCATGAGGTCAGCTTTGGGCAGTGGACACAAGCGAGTTGTGTGCAGCAGCAAAAGAAAACAAAAGCAGCAAATTATGCTAATTATTCAAAGAAACCTGTATCTGTATCTGTACCGTCTGAGAGCTAGAGGTACAAGATACACAAAGAGAGAGCTGAAGAGTTGACAGAACAAAGAGAAGACTGAAATTCACACGAGATTAAGGGAGAGAGAGAGATCTCGCACAAAAAAGCTTTGCAACATTTGGATACTCTCTGGCAACATTTAATCTCTTTACTGCACGCAACATTCTCTGGCAACATTTGAGTGAGCGCACTGCTTGAATACGAGTACTGCTTTGTCACTGCAAATCAGGTTCAGGCACTTGCCACTTTATCTTGTGCAAAGATGCTCCCATTGTAATGCAAATTATTAACGCGAACCTGTATTGTTTTATTATATTTAAACGCTTCGTTTGAAAGATATGTATCATAAGCAAAAGAAAGAATAAACTTCATTACACTCTCAAAATAAACCATTCAACTGCTTGACCACTCTATAGCGACTTTTTGCTTGCTGAGTGTTTATCTGGCTCAGAGACACTCACAATTTAAGATAATTATTCAAGTTAAACTATATCTTTAATTCAAGAATATGGGCTCTTTAGTTCTGCTACTATTTAAACTGATAGATCACTCTTTAGCAACACTTCAGCTCTTACTGAATATAATCACTGCTCTCTTCCACTGCTTTCCGACTGCTTGCCATGCTGAGGCACTTTATCTGGACCAAAAACAGGTGTTTCTGTTTTAGCATGCATTCCTCCTTGGTTGCACCTTACGCTGCACGCTGGAAGCGGAAACTGGTTTTCTTTTGATTTCATTAATTTGGTCAAATTATGACATGCTGTTGCCTGTAACTCTGAATCTGAATCGGGCTGTGGCTGAGACTCGCGCTTGGTTCTTTTGCTGCGCTCCCTGCCTTTTGCCGGCTCAAGTGCATTGATAGCCTGAAACCAGAGATTTCTTGTTTGGAATATTATCATTTTGCTCCTTCAGCAAGCCTGGAAATAACTTTCAGACGTGTTTCAGAACTCAGAATTCAAAGTTGTTTTTAAAAGCAGAAAAAAAAATCCCATAAATGTTTGGTGTTCTCCTCAACTCTGTACTTCCATAGCCTTACCGGACTTTCAACTGTTTTCATCATGGGTTTCGTTACAATATTTCGTAGAGTTTTACGCTGTCATAAATCTGATAAATTAAATCCATCCAAAAAAAGTTGGAAAAGCATTATATCCCTAGCAGCAAGTAAGTGTAAATTTGTTTGGTCTTATCACTTTTTGCCTGCTGCCTAAAAGTTGGCAGCATCTTTTTAAATCTTTGTCTTGGCTAAAACAAAGACATTTATCGTATTCGTTTTTTTCTAAATCATTCCAGAAAAACGCTTAAATGGAACTTCAACAGCAGCAGTCCCGGCTGCAACATGTATTAGTAACAACACCAAAAGCGCTGCAACAAAGGCTGCAACTGCAACACAAATCAAACAGCAATCGCCGCAATCTAAACTTAAAATTTCATCTGTTAAGAGCTCCCCAATTGTTAAAATTTCCGAAGGTAAGTGTCAAAAGGTCGAACATTATAATAATTATCGTAGCGACTATGGCAAATCAAAATTGGAGCACTTCCAATCGATTGTAACCCCATTATTTATTTCCTATTTCCCTTTTTCTGGGTGTACTTTTTTTGTGGCGTGGTCGAACGCCGAACGAAGTGAAAGCATACGAAATTCAAGTCCAAAATAATTTCGTTACCAATCGAATTAATTTTTTTCGTACCCATTGTCTGTCGTAAATTTGTGACTTCAAAAGCCGCCCAGCACAATGGACGGGGGAAAAAAATACTTTTGCCGGCAATTGCAAAATGGACTCCTGGGGACACTTTTCGTTTGGTAAAGTTTAGGGCTTAAGAGTTGAGCAACTTTTGTAATTAATATTAATGCAGCTAATTAGCCATTTGGGGATAATAGGCCTGAGCCACATGTCTGTCTATTTCCACACTGTTTCACACCGGCCCTGTTTCGACACCTGTTCGAGTGCCTCGCATAGTTTTCAAATGGAAAAGTGACAGTATTGCAGTGGGTTGATGTGTACAATATACGTATATATTGATATTCCATTGGGGATGTGCTGAGTGTCATTAATGAGTGGTGATTATTTTTTATGGACCCCGTCTATACGACTTGTTTAACTAATTTGGTCTTATTGTTGTGGTATTTTACTCGTCTATGTTTTGCTTAGTTCTTACTTCACTAAGACTGGGATTGGCTATACGAGTGTTATTTTAATTCAATTTTTTCTATGCATTTTTTCGGTTATTGATTCGCTTAGATGTTTGTAATGGGAAAGAATACACAATAAACCACACATATTTTTTGCATCGGATTATTACGCCCTCAAATGTAGAAAGAAACCTGCAAAATACATATTAATGAATGTAGATAATAAGTTTTTAATTTTAATTCTAGCAAGCTGAAATTATGTTCCTCATGCAAATACGTAATTTACGTAATTAACTACCTTCCCATTTGATTGGTATCTACACTTTTAAAGAACACCAATATCTATGACATATTGTTTTCAACATCAGGGGTATCCCATGATCGTAGACCTCCTTCGTCTTTCAACCTTAACTCAGCCATTGAGTAGCCAGTAAATTAACCAGCAAAGCGCCAACTTTTCGCCCCGCTCTTACAATGATCTCGCGCTCATGGGGTTGCCTCTCTGGTGCTTACATAATCGTGTGCATGACCCCCACACTGGTTGGCAAGTGGTTCTACATAATGCCCCACACGCACAAGCAGTACCCTCTTTGGACGCCCCCCTCTGGGTCTACCCACAAATGTCACTGCTTGAATATGCCGCTACGCGTTGCCGCATTAACAAAATTTGCTTTGATGTTCAACGAGTCGTTGTTGCTGCTGCTGCTGCTGCTGTTCTTGCCTCGTTTTTTTATTCTGGGCGTTGGTGTGTACAGCTCCACCTTCCGTTCTACGCCCCTTTGCTAACCACTGCAATGTTTTGGCTTATTTGAAGTTAAATTGTTTGTTAAATGTTTTAATGCGACTGACAGCCTTCCTCACTTTTTGTGGGAACCCAAAAGCATGGCTAAGCAAGTGCTCAAAACACTTTCTTGGAGCTCTCTGCGAATACGTTCGAGTATGTGTATGTCTGTCTGTCTGACTATTTTATCAAATTTTATTTATTGCTTTCACACCAACCATTTGGGGGGGGAGTCGATCAATTAAGTTGTCATTTAGTTTTGATTGTGCGTGATTGTAGGGGCCCGCATGTGAAAAAGTTGAGGGAAAGCGTGGTTTCCATCACAACGAATATTGAATACTCTTCTAGTTTGATGGTTTATGTGTGTGTTGAATGGGTATATAATATAACCAGTCTTCCCTGTCCATGAACAATTACAGTGCCAGGAAAAAAATAGTTATCAAGTCTTTGGCAAGGATAAATAGGAATGATTCCATTCGAGTACTTGCGCTGATCTCTGCTTCCAAAGAAAATAAAGAAAAGATATCTATCTGGTAAATAAAGCTGTCCAGTTTCTTTATGTTAACATCTTGATGTAGCTTGTTCATCCATTATTTCTTTTGCAGACCCTGTTACTTACGCCTCACAGCTTAATACATAACCCCTTTCTAAAGGGTATTTAAAAATAAAATCTTTGAAAAGCACGCAAACTCTTTTTTCGCTGGGCTGCTTTGGTTGTGTGTGAGTGTATCTATGTGGTTATTTTCTTGTATGTTTGATTGGTTGTGTGTGTTTGTGTGTGGCCCGCCAGCCCATTATCTGACGGCTTGTTTTCACTCTAATTTATGGCCTACACACATCAAGTTCATTGATTTCGCTGTCGCCAGTCGAAATGTGTGGGCTCCGCTCCTCTTAATGGCCATTTTTTCACGCTTTTACTCAATTCAATTCAATAAACTGACAAATCTGTTTCTGGATAGTTAGCGGCACGCTTTGGCTGTCATTGAGGAAACGATTGAAAATATCATCGAATCATCATAATCTATCAAATGCATTGCATATTATTATTAATTTCACAATCGAACTGCAAAAAAAAAAGGTAATGCCCGGCCGCTCCTCCCAGAGCTCTCGGCTCCGCAAGAAATCAAACCCCAACACGCACATTTCCAGTATTTTTGCACTGAAAAGACTTTTACTTTTCTTTCGCGGGTATCTGCCATGCGTAACCAAAGCAAAACCCCCCACTGAAAATCGACAAAACAATCCAAACGTAGTCGTACATAAAGTCATTACTACAATGGATACCGAGTATGTAATGAACGTTTCCATTTACAATTACAATAACTTTGCAATTCATTTCGGGCCCACACATGGCTCGCTTTTTGCAGGCCTAAAGATTTCTTACGATCTGTCGTCGTTGGTGGTCGGTGGAAACGCTTTGAAGATAGAGGTATACGAGTCAAGGTGCTTTCTATGGAATTGTCATTTATCTTATGTGAAATTGTGTCACATATACATACATACTAAGAGTCACAAAAGTCTGAAATACGTGGAAGCAACCATCTTTTTGTGTTGGCATTTTACAAAGGAGAATTCGTACAACAGAAGAGATCTTTCAAAGGCTAAGTTCTTAAGGTCTATTCCATTTGATTGTACTGTACTTGCTCAAAGACAAATATTTTTTCTAGAGAACCGTTGCTCTCTTAAAAGAAAATGTGGGAGATTCAATCAGAACAATTTACCGAAGAGGACACATCGTCGAATAAAAATACGATTTTCAATGAAAAAAAAACAACTCCACCGTGTTGTCTTTTCCTAGCTGCTATTCCATTTCCCTTTCCTCTAAATGTTACCTATTGCAATCAATCATCTCCAGTCTCAACTAAATATGTTCACAGAACCTATCCATAAATTGCCTCTAATATTAATTTTCCCTCCCAATAAATTATCGCTTAATTAACCCAATGCTAAACCCCTAAAACGCATTAACATACTTTTGTAATATTTAAAGGTGAGATACAGGAAAAAACTTTATTGAACTGTCAGCAAATATTTCACAAACCTAATTCGCATGAACAATTTATGCAAGCAAAAAAAAACCATAAGATTTTTTCTCCCTGCTGTGGGCTTATTTGCACACAAAAGTTGGCTAAAACCGTAGCCAAATATTGCATAAATTGTTGAGATCTCCGGGTCCAAAACCGACGCTCTTAGGGCTTGTGTAATTTCGTGTTTGAATACACTTATTTTCTAGCGTGAGAATTTCGTTTTCTGGTAATCATGAATACATTTTGTATTGAATTTTTTTTTGGGTGTACTCATATTTATTTAAGATATTCAAATAAATTCGGAAAATTGTTTGCAATGTAATTGGAGTAGAGGGAAATAAAAGACGCTTTCTACAATTAAACAATTGTTTGGGCTTACTTATGTAAGTCCCCGAATTCCTATTAATCTGAAACTTTCAATTTTTGCATTAGCCTCAATATCCGGCACACGCAACTCCATTAATGCCGCATGATAATTTCTTTTCAATTCAATCTGTGGCCCAAACTAATTTGTTTAATCAATTGGGAATCATATAATTGATGGATATCTTTTTGTGGGAGTTAATTGGGTTTATGTTCGACTTCACGAATTGGGGTCAAGTTTTTTGTGTGTGTTTTGGCAAATTCTATTCAATAAAAAAAGGCCATAATTATCCAGGTTTAATCTGCACAAACTTGATAAGGTTTATAGACGCAGAGGTTCTCTAACTGGAGCGTGGCTTTTAATGTGCTGTGGCTGTTGAGATCTTTCGTTCTTTGTCTTTGTCTGTCTCTACAAGTAATCAGACATAAAGTTTTCTTTTTTCTTTTATACTATACATATTTTGCATACTCTCATATGACAGCCAGTCAATGGCCAGGCCAAAACGAAAAACTACTTTTGCTGTTGGCCAAGTGTGACGCGAAAGTCACGGCGACAATTTTTGTATAAAGAAAAAGTCCATAATTACAAACAACGATGTGCGGCAACATTTCTTTTCAAGTGCCATATTCGAAGAGTGCATAAACTTTGGGGAAAGGGCTAATTGACGTACAAGAAAATATTATTTGAATTATTATTTATTTATCTTTGGAATTGAAATGGTGAACTTTTGTTTTAATTTGAGTTGTTGCTGCATATGTAAAGTATTTCAAATTAAGAATGATATTCATATAGGAGATATTTCAAAGGGGAACGAAGACACGAAATTATTTCCGAGCATGTGCCTTCATCAATAATTCGCTTTTGTGATCGCAAATTCTTTAATGCGGAAATAAACTATTAATCAAGACGCACATGAGACATAATTTTCAAATAAGTTTGGTTTAAACTTAAAATTAAAAATAAAGGTTGGCCATTTATTGACATAATAGCTCAAGATACATTTGTTTGAAAATATTGTTGGGGCCAAACAAAAGCAGGCTCTTTCTGCTTCAATCTGTCATTGTCCGCATCCTCTCATCCATTTGGCGTATAAAATTTCTTTGATGTCCATTTTGCATTTCACTTTGGGTAAGCCTGAAGTTTTTCGAATTGCTTTATGCGGTT